GGTGGATGTTGTCTCTGATTCAACACCAGGAGTTGAAGCTGTGATCACACCTGCTGTCATCCAGCAGGTAGAAACTTTGATACTTCATTACAGGAACTAACTCACTTTAACCAACAGGATCTGTTAGTTTGTCTAAAGAGTAAAAAAACAAACAAACAAAAAAAAAGAAATACATTGGGCTGCTTTGAAGGCACTCACTGCACAGGGGCGGAGCCAGGGGGTTGCCAGGGGTGGCCATGGCCACCACAGACAAATCTTTGGCCACCCCATTGGCCTCCCTGCTGTACACACCCCTTCCACAGTGAAACAACCTTTAGGGGTGTAATAATCCTCCCGAACAGTTGGTGACAGTGTTTAACAATTTGAAACATTACCAAGCTTTATCACTGAAGAAGAGTGATGACAAGGAAGTGATGATTTTCTTTATATACAGAACAAATGCCTATGTAATCTGACTTATGGTGTCAACTTTTGGACTTATGGTGACACATGTTATTATTTTTACATATTTATTTATTTACAGTATTTGTCATTTTATGCTATGAAGGCTGTATGATTCTCTGTTCCTTTTGGTTGTGCGTAGACATATCACTAAGTCATAAACAGTAAATTCACTGTTAGTGTTTATCAATGTTGCACCTTTTCATTGGAAAAAAATATTAATTTTAGTTTTAAGCATGCAGTTGAGGGTCATCCTTATTTGGCACAATGACACAATGACATGTGTTATAGTTAAAAATAAATCAATAATCAATAAACAATATATACAAGTTAAAAGCACCCCTAAAGTCATTGTATATGATAAATTGTGTCACATTAATTAATCTTATCTCAAACATAGCAGTGAGTTAAAACAGGATGATAGAACTAGTTTAATGAACAATCTGTCTCTGAAATAACTATTAAATCAAGTGTTTATTTATGTAGGGGAAATTATGTTTAATAACTTGTTAAAATACACCATTCAAATTTTTCTGGGGAAGGACCCCCAGACCCCCCAACAGTGTGTCCCCCCACTTTTAAAATGTTTCTGACATCCATGCTTATAAGGTAGGGATAGTCACTGCCTGTAAAAGGACATAAGGAAATGACCAAAACACAAATATATGGAGAAACTTTCAAGTAAAAAAATATGTAATTTTCCTGGCCACSCCTGTGTGAGTAGTGGTCCCAGTCTGGCCACCCCTGAGAAAAATGTCTGGCTCCGCCACTGTCACCGCAGTGTCATGAAATCCAGTCCAACTTATTTGTAGAACTGTTCGTCTGCTCTTCTATGACCTTTAGGAAATCACAGCCACGAGTGACAACATCAGGACCCAGACAGAGTCTATAYCCGGGACTCCTGCAGACCCTGAACCTGCTGCTGTGCCTGCAGAGGGCGCCCTCTCTGTAAGCTGCTTCCATTATAAAAAAAAAACACGTGCAGTATTAAACCACCACATGCAAAAGATTCCATATGTCCCCGAATTATTCTCTTCATGCAGGCTTATTTGGGACTGATTTTATAAATCTGCGTTTCTCGACGGATTAACGTCGTCCCTTCTTTCTCACGCAGAGCGACGCTGCAGATCAGATGTGTCTGAACGTGTCATCAGAGGAACCAGTAGTTTGTGACGTACCGTGTCAGATACAGCTGCCTGTGGAGCCTGTACAGCACGACTCGGTGGTAAAGAAATGTGATTTAATAAGAGCTTTTAAAATAATTTATCCCATATTCAAACTCGAGTTTTATTAATCCCATAGAGGTAAATTTATATGCTGTGGAAGAGGCATCAGAACAGAACAAACTCCTCCATCTGAATGTTAATATTAGATGGATTTTTACATAAAACTTGTAGTTTTTAACATCTTGGTTGCATTTTAGGAGATCTCAGTGGAAACAACACTGAATGGACACATGGTTCCAGAAGTTTCTATTGAGGGTTAGAACCAAAAGTATTTTTTTGTGTAAGTTTCTCAAATCATTTAACACATTCTTTCTAAATGTGTAATTACCTCAGATTCTGTGGTAAACCTTTAATTAACTGTTTGCACGCCCCCGCAATATGTCCATATCTTTCAGATGCCCCTTGGTCATTTTGAAGAACTCACGACTTTACGGGAGTCGGTCGGGCTTTTTCATTTTTTAAGGATTAGGACCGAACGGTCAGGAAATCAACGGGACATCCCCACTTTGAAGTGCCTTTCCTGCCCTGCTTTCTGCTCAAACATCAGATCCAGATGCGAACACGTGGACAGCGATGCTCTGGAGGCAGCAGAGACTCGTGGAGACAAACACGTTGTGACTCCTTTAAATCTTTCCGTACATCAAGAGTTCACAAACAGAGAATTATGTTTGCAGTGGGATAAAAAAAAWGTGATATTTCTTTACATACACTTGTTGTATTTTAGTACCACTGCAGCATTTATGATTTGGCCAGTTTGTTATACAGGTGTATTTTTTTTATTTTACAATTTGTTTCAAAGCTTTTATTTTGCTCAGTATTTTTATTTTACACAAACCTGAATTGTTYACTTTTCTTTGTCTAAACTAAGTGCCGACGTTCAAACTACATTGTAAAGTGAGGCTTTTAGGWTATAAGGCCTCTGAAGAGTGACATTTTTGTTCCCACATTCCTCCTCCTGTGATTCATTTTGTATAGTCAGAGTGATGCACTAGTTTCATGTTCAAAATCCAGCG